CAGATAAATTAATTTTCTTAAACTTTTATGAATTTTAAGTTTATAGATAAGGAGAATTATCTATTCTTGATCTCAATTTTTATTATCTAAATTCATATTTATCAAAATTTGGAGATCCTTATTATGAAGGTTAAAATTTAACAACAGTTTATCTTTTTTAATTTATATCCAACTTTAAATTAGCAATATTTTGAATATTCTGAAAGTAATTCTTTCTATATGGTTAATTTTGTTTTTTTTGTAATAAAAAATAAATTGTAGTTAAAGTATTATGTTTATTTGCATGTAATTAAAAAGAAATTTAATTTTGTGAATAACCCATTTCTATCATCTTCTATATTATAATTTAATCATCTAAATTTAAATTCTTTCTTTATAAAGGAGGTTACATTAAAAAAAAAGGATGTTATTTAATTTAATCAAAATTTAATCTTTTATCTGGATCCTTAACAAGTATTTTTGTTAATATATCTATTGCATTAGGTGATAAATGAGTAGGCTTTTCAAAATCACTTGTTTTAATTAATTAATATAATTCCTTAGTGTTTTCATGTTCAAATGGCAAATAACCACAAAGCATTGCAAATAAGATTATTCCACAACTCCAAATATCACTTTTTAAACCTTCATATTATTTACCAACTTTTTATTTAAATAATGTATATACCTAACATTTCTGGAGCTGCATAACAAGGAGAACCACAAGCTGTTTTCAATAGTTCTCCCTTTGTAATAGAAATAAAACTCAATCCAAAGTCAGCAATTTTCAATTATTTATTTTCATCTAATAATAGATTCTCTGGTTTCAAATCTCGATGTGTAATATTATTACTATGCAAGTATTCTATTGCAAAAATAATCTACTAGAAAAAACGTACTGCAACATGTTCAGGTAGACTAATTCAATTAGGATTCACATTACTATTTTTTCTTTATTATGTAATCATACAACTCTCCCCCTCTCACATATTCCATAACTAAATAAACTGACTATTCTGATTCTAAAATCTTAAATCAATCAAGTTATTACTTCATATAATTTTATTACATTTGGATGATTGACTTTTCTCAAAATCATTATTTCTCTCTAAACTCTCATTAAATCAAACTAATTCTCTATTCGGTTCTTCTCAAGAACTTTAATGGCAACCTATTAAATATAGAATAACTTTTTACATATTCATCTGTTATTGTATGATAACCTAATTTCACCTTCCCAAAAGTTCCCTAACCCAATGTACGCTCTTGTTAAATTGCTTATAATTTACATAAAATGTAGTTTTGTACTTATTAATAGGCTTCTTACTCCATTAAAATTAAATAATAATTAATTAACTGCATTTATCAAAACTTCATTGAACAATTTTTGTCATTCATATTATATATCATATATTCAATAAATCATAAAATTTCTTATAACTTATTTATTATTTAGATAACAATAGTCAAAGAATTGATAAAAATTGAATTAAAAAAATGTTTGATTAAATATTTTTATATTTATCATATTCTTATATCACTTACGTGCCTTACGTCTTTTTCTCTTGAGTCTTCGCATTCTCTTTTTTCTCCACTTTTCTCTCATTATTTATTTTAATTAATGAATAAAGATATTAATTTTTTAATTTATATGTTTCATTTTTTAGTATAAATGTATGGTTATTATAAATGAATTCTAAATTGAAATTCCCTTATTTGTATAATGATTCTTTATAAATATAATAATATTGTAAATCCTCATATTCTCAATATAAATATCAGATAGATTTCATAAAATATTATATCATTCATAGATATATTTTTAACCTTTAATATATCCTTGTACAATTCTTGATTTATTATTTAATATTCAAATAAATACAATGAATTTGATGAATTTTTATAATTAATTTTATTCATAATTTATTAATAAATATGTCAAACATCTATGTTACTACAAGTAACATTAATAATGTTTCATCAACTTAAAGAAAAAGAATATTTGATAACACTCCACCAAATTAAGTTCAAAATCATTTACAATTACCAACTTAAAAACAACCTGATTTAAGTGTTAATTCATTGAATATTGATCCTGAACTTTCTTATATTGCACCAATTGAAATTGAGTAATAAAAGCCTTCTTCTAAAATTGAAGGTTAAATAAAAAGTGAAATTAGAAATGATTAAATATCTTAAGAAGATCCTGCAAAACAAAGTTTATTGAAAGATGTTTAATTAGAGAATTTAGAAAATATTTTCACATTGTTCAGATCAACAGTACCTATGAATTAATCTAATCTATAATCTTCAAGATTAATGACATCAAATGTAGAGCCTTAATATTACTAATAATTAGAAATTGATGCAGAAAATATAAGAGATCGTATTAAAATGGAAGGAAGAACAGTACATACTATTATTGAAAAACATAGTAAAATAAAATAATAAAAATTAAATGTTACTTAATAACTTAAAAATATACAATCTAAATTAATTGAGTATGATTAATGTACATCTTATTCAAAATTTTAAAGAGAAATTAAATATGAATTTAATCAATTTGAATCAAAAGCTGATGAATTAAGAGATTTATTTAATGAAGCATTTAATTTTATGTCAGTTATTTCAGTGGCAGCCTATGAAAGATTGCATAAACCTTTTGATGAATCAGAAATAGTAAGTGAAGCTGAATTTACATCAGTTTCATTAAAACATTTCTCAGATATAGAATTAATTGCCAAAGAGTATGAATAAACTCTCTCAGAAAAAAGAAGGTAAATAGTATTCACTAAAATTTAGATTGGGAAATATCAATCAAAATCATTAGCAATATAAATCTATTTGCTCTAAATTATTACAATTAATTAAATCATTTCCATAATTAGAATAAGAGTTCTAACAAAAAATGATTAATTTATAAAGAGTATCCTCAATATATTTTAAAGGGGTTTCAAGAGATATCTAAATATGTTTATCAAATTATTAGTTAATTATTTAAGATTATAGGCTATCATTAGCTTCAATTGATAAAATTGCTATTCATAAAGATTTATTATAAGAATATTATGATAGCTTTGATTATTATTAATATCTAATTTTTTATTTAAATTAATAACCTTAAAATTACAAAGATAACTATTATTAATTTAAATACTAAAAGGATGAAATTAAATTTATACATGCTAATTAAAGTAAATATTTTTTTGCAATGAAGAATAAGATATATTAAAAATCTTGTTTATATATCGATAATATTCAAAATTAAATAAATACATAGAAAACAGCAGTGCAATTCATAATTCCTTTGATAGATTAATTTAAAAAATATAAAAATAACAATTTTTAGGACTTTTTTGATTAAATATTCAATAATCTATAATAATCCATATCCAAAGATTAATGGTAACATCTTATTAATCTATACTAAGAAATCTAATAATCTAAATGTATACTTAAAAAATTACTAGTAAAATTAAATACTATATAATAATAACACCCTACTTTAAGTGAATTTAAAGAGAAATTTATTAGAAAAATAGAGACAGAGCTTAAATTTATAGATTCTTTAAATCCAAAAGTAGAACCATATTTAAATATTCAAGATATTGATATACATGTTTAATATTTGACATTTAAAGAAAACTATTAAAAATAAAGATAAGTTATAGATCTAAAAATACAAGAAATAATTATTAATTTACCTTAATAATTATAATTAAGTGATATTGAGAGTTAAAATTTGAAAAAAATAAACATTGAAAAATTCTTTAGTTTATCACATTAATTGGAATAAACAGCTATAAGATTATAAAGAAAGAAGGTTTCTATAGATGTTGAACATATTAGGTTATAATTACAATAGGATATAATATTTGAAAAAGATGTTATATGTTTATTAGAATCTATGTAATATTTACATACTGGAAATTTATAAATGATTGTTGAGGATTTTAATGAGATAGATTAGAAGAATAACAATAGTTCTTTATAATAATTAATAGAAGTAGTTATAGAAAGTGAAAAAAAAATTGAATTAATACAAAGTGATAAATTACAAGATATTAAATAAATTTAAGTATAAGGATTTAAATGGATATTAAATTTATTTAAATAATATGATTAATTTAGAAAAGTATTTATTCTTAAATATAAAGAATTTAATTAAACTAATATTCCAAATGTAGAAAGAAGAATAAATTGAATATTCAAGAACTATTGATATTTAAAATTTTGAAGATTTTATTGCTTTAAATAGATTTAGTCATTTATTCTATTATCTTAATTAATATCCAAGAAAATATTAACATTGGGCTTAAATAAAGAATGAATTAATTAAAGTAATAATAAGTTCATTTAAAATTTCAAATAAGAAAGTGATGGAAAAAATAGATGTTTTAGGAGGAGATAAGCCAATAAATTTACTTTAATTTGATTAAGATAATATAGAGAAAATATTAAAATGGTTTTAATTAGAATAAAATCATTCCAATATAGCCAAAGCTGTATTATTATATTAAGGTTACAAAAAGACTAAAATATCAAATTCTCAATTTTCTTCTCCATATTAATAATAGGATTAAAAATAAAGACAATTAATGGAAATTTAGACAAAGATGTTTGATGTTATTAATAAATTAAAAGATTAAATAGAAATTCTTCCTTGTGAAGTAAAATTTGCATATCATAATGCAGTGGATTCATATACAGAAGAAGAATTCGATAAGATTATTTTTACTGAATTATAAGAGGAATGGGTCTTAGATTATATGGAAAAAGGGTAAGATCTATCTTTTTTGGCAGATTTATAAAATAATTCAGGTATCTTTGATACTATATTTTTAAATTAAAGTTTAATATTTATCAATTTGAATTAGATATTACAGTAATGTTATTTATTTAATTTTTAGAACATAAAATGAAATTGATGTTAAATAAATAAGAAGTAATCTTTTCTAAGTAATTAAACATTAGACATGAATAAATTAAAACAACTGAATTTAATATATTCAACAAAAATATCATTTCTTAAACATCTCATATGCTACTTCTTCAATAAGATAATCAAATAATAGATCTGATAAATCTATTGAGATTTCTGTAGTCTCTTCATCATAATTTGTCCATTTATCTTCATTATCTATAATCTACAATTCTCAAATTTAAATTATACATCTAATGTTAACATTCTATAGAGTCTATCTTCTCTTATTTATGCTATGGTTTCTTAATCTAATTACATAGATTTTGGAAATGGTGAATCCTCTTTATCAACCAATATCCCTGTCATATAATGACTCCAATCTATGACTTTTTCTGAAGCTTTCCTAATAATTTAAGGAATATCAGTCAATTAAATTTCCCTTGCTCTTAATCTAGTTGGATCAGATTTCCATAAAAATGGTTATCCAATTAGACCATATGGTCTAAAATAATCAAGTGCTTCAGTTAAAGAATCAAAGATTGCTTTATTATGAATATGTTCTAATTCAATTATTAGTTTATTTTGATGGTTAATAATTCTTTATTCCATTAAATATCTTTCAAATTTACCAAATAACTCTACACTTAGAATTATTTAATGCTAATTTCCATTTGAATCAAAATCTGACTCTGCTGAATCTCGAATTGGTTAAAGAAATTTAAGCATTAATTTTGATGATGGACCCAATGGTAAATTGATAACTCTCTAAATTTAAATCATTACATTATCTAAAATTATATATTATTAATTATTTTACCTATTAAATAATCTTCCAAATATTTGAGATATTATTTAATTTAAGCAACATTTGTTTTCAATCCCTAAATCTTTTGCTCTTTTGGCTAAACTATTTAATTTTTTGTATTTAATTAAGATTTGTTGATTATTTCATATAAATCTATTCCATATCTTTGCATTTCTGTATAAAAAGTATTTACTTCCTCTTATATTAACATATTTGAAATCAAAATAGAATAAGAATCAGCACATTTATCTGATATCTTTTATGGTTCTTTTAATTGTTCAACATTTCTTACAAATTAAGATTAGGCTAGTTTTTTTAGATTAAATGGTTCAGGACAAATTAATTCTTTCTCTTCTAATATATTATTACTTTTTCTCTATATTGTAACTACATCATCATATATCTTATTTTTATCATCTTATAAAGATTACTACATTTAAGAATTTGATATTTAAATATCTATTATTGAATTTTTTAAAGAATTTTCAGAAAAGTTTACAGATTCTTAACTTAATGTATCAACTATTTTTATATATGTTTATGAATTTTATGAGGACATCATTTATTTTACAAATTATAAATCTCTTTAAGTTTTTACTATTGCATCAAATACACTTTATTATCCTTTAAGAATTTCTCTCTTTTTTTACTCTAAATCTGTTTTTTATTTATTTACCCATTTCTCTATTTTCTTTTATTAAACTTCAAATGTTCTAGGGGATATTTAATTATTTTAAAAAGCTTTATCAATTTACTTTAAAGATTATTATTATCTTTATTAAACTGCTTCTTCTCTTAAAGCAATTAATTAATCCATCTTGTCTCTCTACATAAGTTCTTTAAATTTATTCATAACAAAGTCTTAGAATGATGTTTATTCAAACAATCCTTTATCTTACTAAAATGATTATTCACCTTCTTATGAAAGACTCTTTAATAATGATTCTGAACCAAAAGCACATCTAATTTCTCCAATATCAACCTTATTCTCTTCCTCTTACTCTTCAACATCTATTGATAATTTACTAATTTTTCTTGATTTTTAATTCCCAATAGATTCATCTTGAGAATTTTAATATGATTTCTTAATTTTTTCAGGAGTATGCTCAGATATAATTTGTAACTACATATTTTTAAATTTATTTGAAACTTAATTCAATTGATTAGACTAATTTGGTTTGCAATCAATATCATCTTAAAAGTTTTCTATAAATCTTTAATATTAATTTGTTTCAATATTTTTTTTTATTTCTTTTTAATTATCTATTTAAGAATTGGGTCTAGAATGACTTAAAAAGCTAGATTCATCTATAAGCTAAGAATTATCTATTGAACCTTTTTTGAGAAATCCAAATTTAATTAATTTATTAATTTGAGATTTGGTTAAACTTTATAAATTTAATCCATCTTTAGTTTTATTAATGTCTATTTTTTATTAAAATTTAGATTCGAAAATCATCTTTCGTACTTTATATCCTTTCCATATTTTTTAAATGATCAATGCAGCCTAATTTTCAAAAGACTAATTATTCTAAGGTAAAGTAATCTTCTTACAATTTTCTTATTTTATTTAATACTCTTCATTATAATTTTCAGGATAAGAACATTAAAATATGTTTTTTTCTTCAATTTATTAAGCTTCTTCTTTATCAGAATAAGTATCTAGAATATTTTTTTAACTATAAAAACTATCATCCAAATCTTAAATATTTTATTCTCCTTCACTATCATTAGGAATATTATTATTGCTTGAATTACTCATAAATTTATATAGAGATGAATGAGGTTTTGATGAATTACATACTAGTTTATTATTATTTAGTAAATTCTCATCAATATTTTAATATTATAAAACTATTCTTTTTTGTTTCTAACCTTTATTGAATTTTAATTATAAATTAGATGCTTCAAATAAGGTACCAGTCTTCTCATGAAGAGAACCTGTTCTTATTCTATTATTTTAAATTGGTTTATTATGTTAACCTTATGATAGACTTCTATTCCTTTTTTATATATTTTAAGCAGGACTAGGATAGTGTATTTAACTCATTTTCAATCGATTATGTACAATGTTCAAATTTTTAGGTTTATTTACTAACTTTTTGTATTATTATTGTAAAGCAGTTGATATTTTTTATTTTTTATTAGATTGATTCTCATCATGAAATGATTTTTTCTCTAGCTTAATAAATCATATTACTTTTAATCATAGACTTAATATTCTTATCTGCTTATTGGTTTAAAAATGATGTGCCAATTTATTATCTCCTTTCTTTAAGGTCAACAGTTGTTCTTGTATTTCGACGTTACATCGCATTAAAATATTTTTGTTATTCAGCTATTATGTAATTACGTAATCTTTGCTAATTAACACCCCATGGAATAACTTATGAAATAGACTTTTTTGTTTTAAAACCACTTTTTTGTATTTCAGTTTTTGATTTCTATGAAGATTTCTTAGATTTTTTCTTCTTCTTTTTCTTAATTTTGTTAGGTGTAACTATTTGACTAGGATTTAATTTGCTGGCCATGAAAATATCTTATTAATTTGATTCTGTAATTCCTTATAATTTAGTTTCATTTATGGTCATCTTTTGTTTTATTTGACCTTCAACCTTGCATCCAGTAATCTTGTCTAAATTAAACAATTTAATACTGTTTGGGTTGCTTGTTTTGGGTTTGAGCATTTAATTTATAACAACCAATTAAAAATATTAAAGAAAGTTTATAAATTATCCTAATTTGACACAAAGAATTTATCATATATGTATAGATAATTCAAATACTAATTGTATTGATTATATTAATCAAAATTAAAGTAGTATAAGGATATTTGTTATTCTGTAAACTAATTATTATGAATTTATATTTACAAATAAATTCTAATATTATATATATATAAGAGAGAAAGCATATATAAATTTAGATATAATATGTTGGAATAGTTAAGTAATAAGATTGATTAGTTTTTATTTTATTGTATAAATTAACGATCTTTATTAATAATTATTTGAATTTAAAATGAATACATATAGTCGATCTCCATTAGAACCAGTCACTTAAAATAAAGAATATTTTACATCACAATCTTCATCAAAGGTAATAACAAGTACAGTTAGATAATGTACTTCAGTGACACAAAATTTAGGAGTGTCACAAATGAAAAGATCTATGTAATTAATTGTGTTTATGAAAAATTAGGTCTGGAAATAATATTTATTCGTCTTAAATTAATAATCCTCCTCCAGCCAGATAATAATTAGGCAAAAATCTTGATATTGTTTGTTTTTTGATGGCTTGTGAGGTTGAAAGATTTGTGGCTGAAAATGATAAACTTAAATATAGAATAAAGGAGATGGATGACAAATTACTTGATAGAAATAGTTATGAAAAATAAATAGAAGATTTATAAGCTAGACTTATGTAGATGCAATATTAAGAGAGTATTTATAGGTATTAAAAATATATTAATACTTTTTAAGATAAGAGGTCGAGATTACTACTTCTTAGTATACTGAAGAGATTGAGAATTGGAAGATAAGATTTTTTAATAATGAAGAAAAATACAGAAATGAAAATGAATAATTGAAACAATAACTTTTGGTTGGAAATTCAAAATAATAAAAAGAAATAGATGATTTAAGAAATCAATTATTTACTTAGAAATAGATGAATGTAATATGAGTGATTAAATATCTCTAGGAAAATGAATTATAAAAACTTAGAGAATAATTATTGAGTAAATAATAGGCAATAGAGTATTATTAAGTAGAATTGAATTAATATGAAACTGAATTTTAATAATATAAGTAATAGGAAGAAAAAATAGTATAATTGGAAAATAAAATAGGTATGTTAGTTTGTGAAACTGAGAGATTAAATAATTTATTGAAATAGAAATTAGAAGAATTGGAAATGAATAAAGCACGTTATAATAATATGGTTTAAGAATCTGAAAAATGGAGATCTGAATTAAGATAATTATAAAATTAATTTGATAAAAAATAAAAAGATTATGATTAACTAAATTAAGCATATGTAATGACTTAAAATGAATTAATTAAATATAAGGATTAAGACTAAATTATAGATTAAATGTAAAACAAAATAACACTTTTGTAAGGAGAAATAGATAGACTCAATTAAGTATTGAGAGAAAAGATAAAATAAGGAGAAGAATGGAGATAGAAATATTTTGATTCAGATAATCAATGTAAAGAAATGAAATAGAAATTAAATAAATTAGATTAATTATAAATGTAATTAAAAGATTAAAGTGATATGTTTTAATAAATGAGTAATAATTTGGAAGATTAAAAAATGAAAAATTATTAATTATAATAATCAAATCATAATTTAGAATAAGGAAATTTAGATTTAATTAATAGAATTGAATTATTAACTTCTGAAATTGAAAGATTAAATAATATTTTAAGATAAAAGATTCATGAATTAGAAGAATGGAAATAAAAATCTTAACATTATGAATAAGAATTCAAAAATAAATCAACATAATATAATGATATTAAAAATAAATTAAATTGTTTAACTTAAGAAATTGATAGAATGTAAGAATAATTGAGATAAAAATAATTAGAATTATAAAATTTATAAATAAATTAAAATTAATTACAAAAAGAAATTAATAATTAAGAATTAATTAATTAATCTTTGTAAAAATAGATTGAAGAATGGAAAAGAAAATATACTAATATAGAATATGATTTATAAGAATCATTAATGAAAAATAAAAAATTGGTAGAATATGAAAATACTATTGCTATGATTTCATAAGAATTGGAAAGATAGAAAATGTTATTTTAATAGAAATCATAAGAATTTGATGAATAAAGAAGATAGATGATGAATGATATATAAAAATTGAAATAAAGTATGGGATTGAAATCTACAGAAGCTGAAGAATGGATGTCTAAATATAGAAAATTAGAATAAGCTTACTCTGAATTGAGTTAAACAAATAGAATAGTTGAAGATAAATGGAAATAATCATTAATAAGAATTATTTTACATTGTTCTGAAATTGATAGATTAACATAAGTATAAGCTGAGATTTTTGATGAAAATGAATAATTGACTAATCAAATATCACATTATCAAAGTTAATTAAAAATTAAGGATGATTAATTATATAAAGCTTTAGATAGAAATAGTTTATTATAAAAATTACAAGATGAAGAAAAGAGTAAAAGATTAGGATTAGAAAATTAATTAGCAAGTTTAAAAATGTTTTAAGAAAATTGTTAAATTTTAGAATAGAAGATTATGAGTTTGACAAGTGAAAATTAAAGATTAAATGAATAATTAAGATTAAGAAATGGAGAAATTGAAGATTATAGAACTCAAATTTAAAGATATGAAAACAAAATTTAAATTAGTAATCAAGAATTAGAAAGAGTTAATTAATAATTAAGAAAAGCATTTTCAGAATCAGATGAATTAAGAAAAGAAAAAGAAATATTAGAATCATAATATAATTTACTTTAAAGATAATATGATGAATTAAAATAAAAATATAATTCTTTAGAGTTATATAAAACTAAATATATTGAATTAGAGAATAGATGTGCTATGTTATCAACAGAAATTGAAAGATTAAATTAATTATTAATGAATAGATAAGATGAAATTGATTAATTGAAAAAGAAATGTTATTAATAAGAATAATAAATCATTTAGTTAAAATAATATGAAGAAAATGTATAAAATTTATAATATCTTTTTAGATTAGAGTATTGTCCAATGAAATCGATAGATTATAAGGAATCATAGATCTTAATGAGGCTGAACTTAAATAGTGGAGACTATAATATGCAGATGGTGGAGCTTAAACTAGGAAAATATAAGATCTCTTTTTCCACTTTGTGGTAATTCTATATTTCTAAATTTAGATGTAATCAGCAGAAATTGAAAGTCTAAGAGCAAGAGTATAAGAGAAAGAAAAAGAAGTTGAAGAAGTTAGAAGAAGTAGTTTAGCCCCTTATAGAAGATGAGTAATTAAATATATTAATATCAATTTAAAATAACACTTATGTATAAGCTTTTCTTATCAAATACCAATTATGTAAATTTATGCTAATATACTAGTTCATTGAATCAAATAAATTTATAATTAATGATAGATGGATTTTGATATAATAACAATTCTATTATATAAAATGAATTTTATATCAAAAGTATTTAACTTTGAATATTTATTCAATTTGTTAAGTTTCTTTTAATTATCAAATTATAAGTTAATATCAATACAATTAGAGCTTTTTTAATTATAGACATTAATCGAAAGAATAAATTATGATCATAATTATTCTTTCGATTAAAATGAATATGATTCTTAATTTTGTTTTAATGAATATCAAATTCACTTATCAATAATTAATAGCAAAATATTTATAATCTGAAAATTCCATTGAGTTAAATTATTAAATCAATGTTATATTTTATTTATAAGTGACTTAAACTATGAATCATTTACTTATATTTCTGTCAGTAATTAATTATTTATTAATGATTAGATTAGTCTATTAAGTATATTAATTATAACAATAATTATAAATAAACAATAAAAAAACTTGTTTATTTGATAAATTTTAATATATTTTATGATTTAATATCCTGATCTTGATAAACCTGTTAACAATTACAAGTAAGAATACAAACTACTAAGTTATCCTCCTCCTGATGAAAATATTTAAGCAATATAAATAGGATAGCCAATACATGCAAATTAATGGTAGGGTAATTAAGTGAATTGGGTTCCTTAAAGTAATGTTCCATAATATATCCCTGCTATTCCCAATACTTATTATCCAAGTTCATTATAATAAAGAAGCTTTGGTATAGTTTAATACTTATTGATTAGGAGAACTTGATAAAGAGAATCTTCCTCCTTATTCTTTGAATGTCAGATGTCCTGAGTGTGCAGGTATGATTTAAACAAAGTTAACTTATATTCCTGGATGTCTTTCTTTTAGTTTATGTTTAACAATGTGTGCTTTTGGATTATTTTGTGGGTATAATTTGAATGATTGTTTTAATTATTAGTTGTTGTTTAATACCATTTTGTATAAATTGTTGTAAAAAATAAGTACATCAATGTCCATTATGTGAAAAAGTTTTAGGAGAAGTGAAGTGACAATTTTTTTCTTATTATTTATATGATTAAATTCCGTTTTTATTGATTATTAATAAAATAATGAAAGCTGTCCTCATATTAGGATTGATAATTTTTGGAATCACTGCAGTAGAATTGGAATCTGGAGTACCAATTTTACTTAAGGAAATTAAAGCAATAAAAACAGAACACACTGAGTTTACATTCTTACTCGATTTGGAACTCAGTTAAGGAGGAAAAGTTTCTGAAGTAGTTTCATTAGTTGGAGATTTATTAGAATAAATGAAGAGAGACTAACTTAATGATGATCTTGAATATGCTCATGTAAATTTTAGAAATAATATTAGAGAACAACAACACTAGGATTAGATATTGAATGGTTGATTATTGTATTAAGAAATCTTACTAAGGAAAGATAAGATAAAAATAATTAATTAAGTGAATTGAATTAAATCTTAGTTGGTTTATAATAATAATTAGATGCACTCACTGAATAATTAAATATTCTTAATGGAAAAGAAGAATCATTAAGATAAACTAGAGCTTAAGAAGCTGCATCTTATTAAGCCAGATAAGAAAATAATAGTAAAGTTTTAGCAGCATTAAATGAAATAATTCCTAAATTATAAGTTGCTGTTTTTGATTAAGAAGGAAAATCATTATTGCAAACTGAATAATTTGAAATTGTTGAAAAGATCAAAAGAGAATTAGGACATAATCATCCTATTGCTATTATGGTTGCTTTAACAACTAAATTTGATGTTCCAACTGTTAAAAGAATTATTGATAAATTGGATCATATTAGAAATGCTGTTATTGCTTTAATGTAATAAGAGGATGAATAAGAAACATAAAGTCAAGTAAAATTTCTATATTAAATTTAGATTACATTCTAAACTGTTCTATAAGAAATTGCTGAATTGAGAGAAAGATTTTCTAAAGATTTCGAAATAACTTCCTAATTAATCAAAAAAAGAACTAATGATAAAGTATTATTCAAATCATTATTATTTAAGGTTCTTTTGGAAAAAAGATTAACTATTATCAATAGAGATCTTAGTCTAACTGAATAATTACTCATTTAAACTAGAGAATATAAAGAATAATATGATGCTGCTTATGCTGTCAGAAAGGGTAAAAGGTAAGAATTATTATATAAATTTACTTAGGATTTCTGAAATTAAAACAGTTTAATAAGCTTATGATTTAGTTGAGAATCATGCTAAGAAACATAAACAATGATTTAAATAAATATTTTGCAATTATATGGATTATGGATATTTTATTTCTTATCAAATATTAATAAATATGTATAATATTTATATATATATATATATATTTATCATTTATGTGTTTGCCACTGAAATTCATACAATTATTCATTCGAATAAATTGTTTTTGTTTCATTATATTTGGAATTGTACTTATTTCTCAAGTATTTGTTACACTAAATGATGACATCAATAATGGCAAAGATGTAAGAAATATATTTATTAACTTATTAGGGAGTAGTATTTACATTTTCAGTTGGTTTAGCTATAATTATAGTTGGAGCATCAGGATTATTAAGTTCATATTGTCCTAACTTTTGCATTATATTTGTCTATTCCTGTTTTATAATCTTTATAGGAGTATTAACAATCTATGTTACAATATGTTTAACAATCTTACAAGATTAATTAATGAATAAGAATTTTGATGATTGCATTTCATCATCTTTGCCTTCTGCTCAAAAAACTAAAGAATAAATTTTATGGGCTGAAACACAGTTTTGTAAACAAAATTGTCTTTGTTATATTGAGAAAATTTAAGATTGGGATCCTGATTATCTAGAGAACAATCGAATTTCTTATACTACCAATAAATAAATTAGTGACATCATCAAATATCCTGATTGCAATAAATCAATTAAAGTAGATGGTGTGTCATATAATCAAATTGCAACTTTAGAAGAAAAATACAGTTGTTCAGGATGGTGTAAATAGCATCCTGTTTACTTATTCTCAAACATTAATAATGGAATACCGTATATATTTTATTAATATAAGAAAAGATGGATGTTTTACCTATTTTTAATAAGAATACATTTACTATGTCAATAGATCATATATTGATTATCTGATTGTTGATATTCTCTACATATTTAATTTAGGATTTGCTATCTGTTAATGTTATTAAACAAGTAGACATAAAAAATCTAGAATATATCCATAAATACTTTATGAGCTTGCATCCCAATGATTAATTATTAACTATACTTCTTTTTATTGATTAATCTAAACATATGTTTATAAAATGAATATAGAATGCAGAAAATATTATTTTCATTATAAAATATAAATTAATATATTACAATATAAATAATATTAATTCAAATGAATAATGTTTTTATCTTTTTCATTTTTATTGTTTCATCATATTCTGTATTATAAACAAATTCTGTAATTTAATTTTGGTATTTTTGTAAATTATGTGTTTGTGTTTATACCAACAGAAAGTTTTAATGAGTGGTCATTTAACTAAAAAAGGAATGAATAGAAGATGAGAGATTTTCATTATTTGTTTTTTGTAAGTTTTTCTTTTAGGTGTTGTTAAAATAGATTACACTTAATTATTTTTAAAAGTTTAATTTTGTAAAAGCATCTTAAGAAGGTTTTGAAATATTTATGTAATCATTTTCTTGATTAGCTTTCCAAATTATGTTATTTTCTATTATTGAATTTTGGATATATAATCAAATATCTAACAAAATTTGTTACTTGTGCCAAGTGATTCCAATTATGTAATTAGATATCTTATTCGATTATAAATTAATTGATTAATTTAAAGGTTTTCTTTATCCATTTGATTAATTCATTTTTTGAAGTTGTTTATGTAGATGTATATAATTTTTGATTTCAAATAATATTATTATATCGTTAATTTGTATAAATCTCAAATTTAAATTTCTAAATTCTTAATTGATCTTATAATTATATAAGATGTAAAATATGTTTAAATATCAATTAGTAAATCAAAAAATCAAAGAATAATATTTGTCAAATTGTTTTAATCTTTTATAATTCTAAAAATATAGATTAATATAATTTTAGAATTATTAAATTTAAATAAGATTTTAATCAATTAATGAATTTCAATATTTACATCTAGAGGATAAAGATTAAAAAATATGTATATTGTAAAATCACTATAAATTATAATGTTTGTCATTTCAAAAGTGGCCCTTCTAAATTTTGTAATTCCATTTGGGTTCCAGCTCTGGAATCGTTATCATGTCTTGGAGGTGGTATTTTGAAGAATGTCAAAGCACAATATGGTACTAATTCACCCATAAATACTTCCTAATATGTATGAAATAGGAAAAATACTATAAGAATCAAATCTATATTCAATTATATGTAATTGGCAAAAATTAGAAAAAAAATAAGCAATCTGAGTGCCAAACTTATTGATATAGTTTATATCAATTTGTTGACTTATGTAAGGAAAGGTACGATCTAATCATCATCTTCTAGCTGCTATAGTTAGGTTTTAGTACATCAGAAAATAACTTATTGCTAAAGTATAAACATCCAATAATAAGTGCGGCATAGAGTAAAAATTAAAGAATTAATACTCTTTCCAAGAATCCATCTTTGAGTAAAAAGTAAACATAAGATAAGACTAAGTGTCTATAAACAACTTACCTAGACAAACAGGGCTATAGTATATGGAGTACTGAATGATACTAGTATTCTTGTTAGCAAGAACACTCATGCAAATGGCTAGATGTCCAATAAATATGATGTAAGATTGGATCCAAATTAGGATTGGTGCTGTGTATAGAAAGTCTAACCATATGCCTTATGGCTATTCCATTATTAGAAGGAGACTCATACCCCTGAAGGCACTCGATGCACTCACACTCATCAGAAACCAAAATTTCAGATTTTTATTTTTCATACTATGTAATTTGACCATGTTACTTGCAAGGCAAACTAACACAGCTACCATTTCAATAAATGTTAGCCTATAAATAGAAAAAATAGACAACCAAATTTAGAAATGACTTGGAGGTTCTGGTTCTTAGTTATTTTCCATATAATTTATTATAAATATAATTATATAATCAGTTTTAGTGTGGTTTCTGATAGAAATGAGTCTGACATTAATGGGCTAAATCTTATTCATCCATCAAATGCTATTTAAATTATTGTAATTTCTTGCGTAATCTAAATAATAATAATTAAATGATTAATCTACCTCATGATCTTTTCAATTTTCAATATTAAAACATGATCAAGACCATCAACATATTCTTCAATATCTGAATTGGGTTGATCTACATTTTATAACATTTTCATTTCATCATTAACCAATTCAATTAAATCATCAATATGATCTCTATGAGCCTTTTTAAGAGCTCTTTCTTCATCTAATATTTATTAAATGAGTTCATCATGTTTATCTTTAAGATTACTATTACGACTAGGTTTCATTTAAACTTAATCTTCATATAAATCTCCATTATCATGATCAAATAATTTAGGAGGTGAACTAGATTTAACAACCTAAGGACTTTCAAATAAGTAATTATTCATTATATATTATCTAGGTAACATTAATTCTCTTGTTAATTAATCAACACCACTAGATGCTTAGGGAGCTTTCAATTCCTTAACCTATATTAATAGCTAGATATCAAAATTACTCTATCTGCATATCTTAGAGTGTTTAGACTATGTTCTGCATCTTTGTGACAAGGAGATATAGTACCAATCATGAGAGTTCTACAATTTCCAGTGAATGAATCCTTTAAAACTTAAGTTAATTTGGATCCTCTAAAAGGTGTATGATTTTTATTAAGATCAAGAGCTCTAATGCATTCTTTCAAAGCCAATAATGATTTATTAATTTCAGCTCCATCTATTCTAGTTTGTTTATGATATTCAACAACATCAGCACCTCTTTCACTACCTGCTAAATCAATAAATGACAATTTGCCAATGATTTTATTTTATTATCTCAAATTTATCTATAAAATTGCATGAGATCTAGATGAATCTTAATTAACACTATTTTATCCTGTAACTCTACTTTTGATTCCCATTTCAACAGTTTTTTAAAACTCCTAAACACTATGAACTTTTGTCTCTGATAAACCTGTTATATTGACTTAACCTTTTGCATCCTCTCGAGCTATTAATTGTACACGATCATTCAACAAATCGAATAATTTAGAACAATAAATTTCATAGAATGAGACACTCATCACAATGGAATTTGGTATCATTTAAAATAAATCATATGCTGCTAACGTATATATTCCTACCACATTTTAATCTCCCAACATTGTGTATGTTTTACCAGATCCAGTTTAACCATAAGCAAAACAAGTAATTTTAGTACCGTTTATTGCTGCTTGTACCATAGGTTTTACAAGTTATTAATACAAATCCTCATTTGTATATTATTGGTCAAAGGCAGCATCAAAGTTGAAATTGAATTCTTCTATAAATTTAGTTAAATCAACTTTCATTCTTATAGGATTATACTAATCATACCTTGGTTCTCGAACAATAACAGTATTACCCTGAACTTCAACAATATCCTTCTAACCTTCTTTATTTTCTTTCTTAGATAATGGACGCTTTCTGACTGCAACTATAATTTTGGGTTGATCCATTTAACTTTTATTTATATTTTATTAATAATTTCATAATTTGGCATCTTAGTACATTTTCTCAATTTCAGCAAGCCACTTCTATTCTACTACTCTTCTTTTCAATTTTAAAGTTGGTGTTAATTCTCCACCATCAACACTAAAGTCACCAGGAATTAAAGTCCATTTTCTAATATATTGAGCTTTAGAAATAACTCTTAAATTATAAAAATAATTGATTACTTAGTATTAGTTTCATCCATCAATTACTATATATAATTAGTAATAGCTTTATCATTCTTTGCTTCTTCAATTGTAGTCGCTGATGAACCAAGACTCTTAAATACAGCAATTACATCTTCATTTAGTTTATCAGTAGGTCTAGATTATATTAAATTATAAATATTACTATCCATCAGGTGTTAATTAATGTTTTAATGTTAATAAAATGGATAAATATTTTCTCTTATCTCCAATAACCATACAATTTGAAACAATCTTAATATTCTTTTTTACTTCATCTTCTATTAAAACTGGTGCTACATTCTCACCTCCTGCTGTAATTATCAATTCTTTAATTCTTCCTGTTATCATTAAATTACCATTCTTATCAATTTTACCAACATCTCCTGAATG